GAGTGTCCCACAAGAGTGTCCTACAAGAGTGTCCCACAAGAGTGTCCTACAAAAGTATCCCACAAGAGTGTCCTACAAGAGTGTCCCACAAGAGTGTCATACAAGAGTGTCCCGTAAGACTGTCCCACAAGAGTGTCCCATATGAGTGTCCCACAAGAGTGTCCCACAAGAGTGTCCTACAAGAGTGTCAAGCTTTTCGAACGTGTCTGCATTCGGGTTCGTGGGCTCCATCTTGTTTCTTTCTCAACCCCTCTACAGTTTCAGAATGATTGATCAACAAGTGTTTTGTTTCGGGCCCTCATACCGTGCAAGATTCACACGCCATCCTAGAGTTCGATTCCACCATGACACACGGAAAGAAGAAACGGAATGGAATGTGCAAAAGAAGGTGGAGCATGTTTTTCACACACACACACAAATTCTTCAGCAGAAGAACACATTGGGTTGTTTTTGATATTGTAGCTAACATGCTTTGGAACTCTCCCCGTATGGGCGTTTTGCACATGTCTTGCGCGAATGCCGCACTTTCCCCATACTCCAGAATTTCGTCATTCCCCTATCGTTTTGACCAACAGTGGTGAAACGTGAAAAACAAAAAACAACCATGCGCATATGCCTCTGCCAGGCAAACGCTGTTGCGGTGTACCATGAATCCTACGCTGTGTGAAAATCATGCTGTATGTGGATTCAATCGCAACAATTTGTTTCAGCGTGATCCCATTCCGGTATGCATTGGCCTGTGTGGCACGCGTTGGAAATTTACTATTTGCAAGAAAATCTTGGGCTAGAGGCTGCAGGCTACATGGTCCCTGGAAACCTAGATATAAGTTCGTGGTTGCGAAATTGGCCCTGCCAAATAATTATATGCTAACCTTCATCGCACAAGAACACGGATAGTCTGGCAGACACCAAAAACCTGTTCACTTATGGAATCCTGCTTGCCAATCTCACGGATCAGCACACAGAATCCGACAAGCTCGGGGCGCTGGGCCAGCAACCAAGCTTGGTTACCTACACCTGAGCCTGGCAAATGCCTAGTGGGATCCACTGCTATGAACTGTCCTCGCACTAATACCTCAACCGATTCATTCCCGAGTACGATGAACTTTAGCATTCCCGAGTACGATGATCACATGTCCCATGGTATCCCATGGTACACGATACTTTTCTCAATCAGGGAAACCGAGAACCATATTAGAACCATGGAAGGTCCAGCCTTTCATGCCACGCATGACGATCTCCAGGTCGGCAGCATTGCCGAAAAACGACTTGCCTCAAACTCTTGCATTGTAATCTTCGGACGAAACTCATGAACCACCTAGTAGGTATGAGTTGCTCTTCGCAAAAACAAAGGCACCGGCCCTGTTCCTCTTGCAAGTACTGGCTGTCAGGCTGCCGAACTGGGTCAATGCTAAGGATACACTTTCAGCGCGAGCTATTTCACTCTTGCGCTATACTTGCACTTGCTCATCCTGTTTGGCTTGACGGGGACAATAGGCCCAAGATAACAACAACTGTGTACACGCAGCGTACACGGGCCTACCTTTCTCCCGAAATGTGTAGCAAGGCTTCCCCTTTCACTTTATGCGTTTTGGGGCCCCTTTCACTTTATGCGCTTGGGGGTGTGTTCGCTCGACGTTGCGTTTGTGTTCTCAACCGTTCGAAACCATGCGCAACAGTCCGCAACCGTTCGTGTGAGGTCATGCTCAGGACATTCAGGGGCGCTTTCGGAGGTGATCTCTGTTGAACAATGGAACTGCTGAGTGAAGTGACTCCAAATCGTACTGTGAAAGGGTGTCCAAGTGGACTTTGTGTGGCAGGCGCAATGGATTGCGCGTGTGCTTCAGGTGCGTGATTGCATTTTGCGTGGTAGGCGTGGCACTTCGGCGACCGCGAATCGCATTGGAAGCACTGCGACAGATGTGCTCTGTGTGCAAAATCTATGGCAGGCGCGGCACTTTCGCACATCGTAGATTTCGTGGCAGGGCCAGTGTTTTGAACACTTTTGTGTGTGTGTGTCTGGAGGCGTGCTCTGCATGCAGTGGTTGTGGTACGCAAGCGTTGCTTTCACCGCTCCACCCACTCCTTTCAGCTCACTCCACTCCACTCACTCCACTCCACTGACTATTGCAGCAAATATGAGGTGTTTCTCTCAATGTGTCTGAGCATTCGGGTTCCTGGGCTGCATCCTGTCTTGCACGTTTCTTTGAGGAAGTGGCCAGCCAACGCGTCACGTTTCACGCAGTTGACTTGTGTGTATTGCGTCGCAATGTCAAGACTTCAAGAGCTGTAATCTTTGGCGGCACACAGGTTCCATTTGGAATCCACGTTCCTCGCTCAAACTTTCCCATGACTAGTTGCCATCTGGATAAGATAGTTGCCAAAAAAAGTAGAAAAGTGGTTCAAGGATGGCAATAGATAAAAAAAAATACCTTATGTCTCCAGGCTTCCAACTTGTCTATCTTTTCAGGGTTGCTACGTGTAAACGTACATCTATTACATACATGTTTGTGCGCGCGTGCATGCTCTCATCAATTCATCATTAATTATCAAGAGGTTCGCACAAGGGCGGCGAAACCATCGAACATGTCAGGATTCAGTGGCAAGATGGTGTGCAGGGAACAAACATGCAATTTTTGAGAGATGAAAGCCTTTCGAGTTAAGTCTCCGACGCAGTGTGTTCACTGCCTTGAACCCGCCCGCTGTCCAGACTCTGAATGCAGCCTGCAGGTTCTTACAGGCACTTGGAAGCATTTGCCTTGCAGAGATGCAGCAGCAAAAAACAACTGAGGGTCCTCCATCTTCGAAGCAGTCCTCAAAAAGATGCATTTCGAATCTGGATTTGCAAGACCCTGTTGCAAAGACTTCACGTCTGAGGCATGCACATCTCTGAGGATGAGTGGACTCGGTAGATCTAATCCTGGGCCTGAGCAGAGCTATTGGTCTCTGAGCTGCCAGTTCCTTCTTGTCGGCTACTCTTGTTTGGCAACATCCACCGCTTCCCATACAGCTCCCGCGCCTTTACCAGCTGTGGCCTTCAGGCGAGTTCACTTCTGCGTCTACGCTTGAACCAAGAAAGGAACCATGGCGTACAGTTTTGACAATGGTCTGCGTGCTTTAAAGATGGAGAAACCTGTGCAGAAGGCCATGACTTGATCAGCTGTGACTTTGGAGTTGATAACGGTTCTTGTCAGACTTTGTTTAGCTCTCGATACTGGCCAATCAAAATACCGACACGCAAACCTAGGTCAAATGTTTAAAACTCAGACTGACATTCACAAAGGGCTGAGATCTACAGCTTTTCAATCGAAATGTGTGGATCTCGAGTAATGATGGAGGTGGATTTGTCTAAGTCTGGGGTATGAATTTTGATGCCTCACTTTCGAGGGTTCATTTCAGCTACCTGGTACCACTAGAGATCAGAAGTGTTCAATCGTAAAAGGTCAAACTCAAGATTGAGATGTTCATCTTTTGAGATCTGCCTTTGATACTTTGTAATTTGTCCTGCGGTCTTGAACTCGACTTGGGGGCTGAGATTTTTCACGCACTTGATTTGGGGTTTTCCAACGTTTTCAATTGGTTTATTTCGTGGACTTACGGGTTTGTCGGGAGTTAAGCTTTTTCAAGAAGTTAAGGTCCAACCCAGTTTTCATAGCATCAATTAAGGTGTTCCAACAACTAATCAGCTTCAAATGGTTTCAAACCATTAAGTATTTTTTATTGCTAATCTTACAGGTGGCTATTCGTGCGAAGTGCCCATTC